ATTATACGCTTTAGACATATCTTGAAAGAGGTATATAAATTAGTATAATTGGATTTGTCAAATTTGTTATTCAAACGATGGTATTCAAGAATATTATTAACAATGTGTAATGGGTCCATGGTTGATTGGTGAGGTAAACCAGCAAAGTTAAAGCCTTTAAGTATGTTGTTCTTTATAAGAATATCTTGTAATCTTTGATTTAAAATCTTTATGAATGCTTTTCTCACTGTATTCAAGAGGGTAATAGGACGTGTATTATCTAGCTTACAGTTCCAAGATTTCAGTTTAGGAATTGGGTATACATATGCAAGATTCCATTGTGCAGGAGTTAATGAACTAATAAAGCAAGCACAGATGATAGTATATAAAAACTGATTCATTTTAGGACTAAGTTTCTTGAGCATTTCATTTGTAATTTTTAAAGGGTCAGAAGCTTTGTTGTCCGGTAAATGTTTTAATGTTATTAACCATTCATCATAAGTGGGAATGTCCATGATGCTGTCATAGCAATCATTGTCGATAGTCTCAATAGGATCGTAATGACATTCCCAATTGTTCCAATTTGAATTAAAGTTATGTGATTGAAAAGTTGTGACGTCTCTATTTGTTAATCCAGCAATGTTTTGAAAATGTGAAGCCGTTTGCATTTTGATTTTATCAGGAATTAATTCTAGATGTTGCTTTATTGTGTCTGCGTGAAACATGATTTGATCGAGAATAATTGCTTTTCTATTCCTTTCTAGACAAGAGTCAATCATTTTAGTGGGTGAATTTTTGAAATTGTCATTTCGATTTTTAATGAACTCTGAGATCCTTTCATTATTTTCAGTTCTAGAGATGATCTGTTGTTTGGCTTGCATAGGTTTAATGATGTCAGATTTTAGTTCAGATAAATAGTTTAGATGATGGTTTACTAAAAAATAGCCATCAATCGAGGCTGTAGAAATAAAGTGTTGAGAAGCTATTGTTAGTAGTGATTTGTGTTCATCGAAGAAGAGAGAAAAAGGAACGAGTAGCAAAGGTGATTGAATTAGGAATTTGTTAATTTTATAATAAAGTTTGTATAGTTTTTTAATGTGTTTGTGGATCGAAGAGTTGGAAAAAGTGAATAGAGAATTATGGTGTGAGGTTGTGATTTGTTTGGGTATATATTTTTTAGCAGAGGTAATAACTGTATTAACAAAGAAGTATCAAATAGCGTTGAGAAAATTTTGAGATTCACTAGGATCATGAGCTATACAAGTTCGATACTTTGGATTCATTTTAAGAATAAGATCCATTTTTTCAGCGAAAAAATCCCATTGAAGTAAAGTAGTTTGTTGAAAAGAAAATTCTGCTTGGTAATTTTATGTTGTTTTGAATATGCGTTTGATGATTGATTGAAAAAATTGTTTTTGTATAGCGATATAAGAAGGAGGAGATGATCGGATGAGTAAAGGAAGGAAAAGTTATTTAAAATATCAAAGGTAACAAGGTCGTATGCAAGAGAAGATAAAATGAAAATATAATCGATATGGGAAGAAAATGAGTTAAAAGTTGATGTGAAGGTAGTGGGAAAGGAGAATGTGAAAAAAGAGATTGTATGAAGAAAGTCAAGCTTGATAATATTATATAGAAAACTTTGTAAAATCCTTTTGCATTTAGCCTTATAGTTTTTGGAAATGTTAATATTAAAATCTTCCATAAGGATTACGTGAAAATTATTTTTTCAGCTTTGAACTAAAGAATCTATTAGTTTGTTTTGAATATTAATGTCTATATTTAAAAGATTTTTTGTCGTAATTACTTGTAGGAAGGTAAACTTGAATAATGCGTAACTTAAATTTATTTCTAAATTGAAAGTCTAAATGTAAAATTCGGTCAAAATAAGAGCTTTGATTGAAAAGGTATGAACAAAGATTATTCCTAATTAGAAGTCCAATCCCTTGACAATTTTGAAAACAATTTGAGCTGTGAAAGAAAATTTGTAAGGCTTGTCGTGAAGGTTATTATTGAGAGATCTAGCTTGCAAATATGTAAGATGAGTTTCACTGAGACCTAGAATATCAAAGTTGAAATTAATAAAAAATTGTTCGATTTGTTGAAGTCTATTTAAGGAAACACAGCTTTAGATGTTGTGTGTAGCGATTGAAAGTAAATTGAAATTGTTAATGATGGAAAAAAAATTTGCATTTATTATATTATTAATATTTGTAGGAATCGTAGAGGACGTTCCATTAAAATTTTTTGTTTGGGAGTGTATACTCATTGAGAAATATTACTCATTCAAATGATTGAGCTGATAGTGGCAATCAAATTTCTTATTTTGTTCTTAATTTCGTTAATGGATGATTCGACAACACCAATTCTTTGAAGATTGATTGAGGAATTTGTATTGAGAACAGATGATTCGTTTGAAATTATAGATATTTGATTTTCTTGAGTCAGTAGAGGAATAGTATCTTCGAGCATAAAATATTCATCATGTGAAGGAAAACGTAATTCAGGTCAGTAACATGTTTGATGTTATATTCGATATTGTGCATACATTCGAGACAATTAAGTCTAAATCCAATATCATCTTTGTTTTGTTGATGTTCCATTATATCATTTTTTATGGAAACAATTTCATCGCTGATCGAGAGGAGCTTATTTTCGATATTGTTCAGTCTTTCCTGAATAATTTTCAGTGCACCATTAAGGTTAGGATAACAGTGAAAAGTTGTTTGTCATCACTCTTAGGAGGAGTGTTTTTAAGAGAGTTGATATATAGCATAGCACCTTTGAAATTATTATAGATATTGTTATGTGGTGAATGGTAAGGCTCTGGTTTAAAACGATCGTAGAGTGATCTATAAGGATTTGCTGGTTTGCGGTTAGTACAATTTTTGAATTTGTGGCTAAGAACATCACAGCTGCGACAGTATTTGTTCGATGGTTCCATCTAGTATAGTGTTTTTCCTTTGAATTTCTGAGACTGCACCACTGCAGCATCAAAGTCTTCTAGTGATGTGAAATTAATAAATACATAGGGTTTAAGTCTATATTGTTGATCACGTGCAATAAAGCACATTCTGGCTTTGATGTATGCAAGAAAATCTCCTAATTGTTGTTGATCAATATTGAAAGGAAGACCAGTTAGTTTTAGTTCAAATTGTTGTCTTAAAGCGATTTGCATAGGATCGAGATCAGTTAGTTCTATTCTAAGCGTAGTTTCAAGAAATTTAATGGACCAAAGGTCATCATAAAAGGGCTTGATAATGTCAGCGTTTTTGAAAACAATGAATGCAATCTGCCAGGAGCCTCAGACGATCATGGAGAATCTGGTTTTCGCTTCATATCTGGGAAAAAAATTTCGTAGTACATCAGATTTGACAAATAAGAGGATATTAGACTTTAAGAGTCTTTCACTTTTCAGCATCTTGTTTGAGTTTTTTTGCTGCAAGGTCAACAATAGTAAAAATAGGATTATGTTGTATTTCTTGTACTTTTGTAATAGCATATGTTAGATCCTCCATTGATTGAAAATAGACTGAAAACTTTCTAAATTTGAAAATGTAAGTGAAACCTTGATAACCATTGAATCATACAAATAGAGAATTAATGAACGTGTGTTTTTCAGCTATGGTTTTTCCTTTTATATTTGACACGTTGTCTGTCACGAAAAAGCGTGTAGAAGCAGTGATGATGTTGTATGAAGTCCCTTGATTTTCTTGGTCATGTGACCCTTCATTTTATTTGAGTTCTTCAGACCAAGATTGTTTTTGTTTCTCTTTATTAACGGGAGGAAGTACGTAGTCAAAACCTGTATCTTCAAACATGTTGTTATTTTTGGGTTAAATGTGCATAGAGTCATTAGCGGTTTGGTTTGGCGTGGAAGTTTGAAGAGGTATGTTGGTAGAAGTAGTATCAATATTCATTTCCAAGAGCACTTTATTAGAGAAAATATTGTTGTTAGTTTTTTGTTCAAATAAAGGTTCTTTGTTGTCCGTTGATATAACGTTTGTAATAGTATTTTCAATTTCTGGGTCGATAGTGTCTTCATTTGAAGGTGTAAAAGTTTTTTTTTTTTTGGAAAAATTTTGTTTGTTTGTTTCGGTTATTTTTGAATAAGTGTCTGAAGTAGTAGAGTCATTAACTGAGATATTTCGTTTATTTCGTTGATAAATATTTTTTATTTGTTGTTTAGAAGAAGTTGCTCTAGTAATTGGCATAATTTTTATTTTTTGTCGATCTTTTTTAGTAAACTGGACGTTTAGGAGAAAGAGTTTTTTTTTTGTTGATTTTGGATCAGCCCATCTTGAGATATTTGCGATTGAATTTCAAAATCCGGACTCCTTTATTTAAAGTAGAATTTATTGATTCATAATTTTGGCCAATAATACAATTGTGATTATCACGAGATTGAATGATCCAAAATCAATGAATGTTAGCTCATTGGATTCGTCTAGTCGCGGGGAATTGAATGAAAATTGTTTCATACGAATTGGTACGATATTGATCGAGATCATACATCTTTTGTTTTTTTATTTTTTCTATATATAAAAATCATGTGATATAGTTTCATTTCGACTTTTCACCTCCAATAGTCGAAATGATTTCGACTATTTCAACATTTCAGATATTTAAAATAATCTATTTCGACTTCATGTATAATCATAATGACATATTTCAAGAAGCTAACTAAGCAATAAAACCAATATATCTTATAATACTTTACAAAATATACTTATTTGTTTGATTGGAAATAAGGCCGTTCAAATCTAATACTTTGTTTAACATAACCCCCCTCTCATTAATCAAATAAAGAGCCAATGAACAACATTTAATTTTAATCATGTGACTGTAATTCCAACATAACGCTGGCCAGTACTAGAACAATATTTATAATATAAAAATCTTATATTTTATCCATAGTATAATTTGATTATCATAAATCATGATTGTCATGTGCAAATTGTGTAATACAGATCTAGTATATAAATGCTTCACGTTACACTGTTGATATTCTGTCGTACAAAATGGATTTCTTTGTTATATGTGTTCTTAAAGAAGCAAAAACCATTATTTCAGATAAGATTGTAAAGGTATCACTAGTATCACTAGCAGAAAGCTTTCAGTTTCACGACATTTTTAATGTAGCAACAAATGAACAGTTTGAGAATTATGATGTTCAGGTGTTTTTAAGAAAGCTTTCATAGAAGTAGGTTTATGTAGTGGAGGGACTGAAAGGTGACGTAAAAATGCTATTTAAACTAAAATTTATTCATATTAAATTTGTTTTGAAAGCAACAGAGGCTTGTGATCAAGAACCTCAAGGACTAAATATATTTGATTTACTTATGAGGAATTCATAATGTGTTCATCTTCTAAAACAGAAAAAGGAAAATACTTGCTGAGATTTATTATATAATGATATTATTAAATTATTATAAAGTAAAAAAGTTGGATAGAAAAGTAGAACCTATAATACTCTTGAAAAGAGTTTTGTTGAACATTTGACTGCAGCATTATGGTATATCAATCCACATCGCATAAAATTCACAGAACGATCACTTTCACTTGGAGAATTATTCAATGAATTAAATCAATATCAGCAAGGTCAATATTATAATCTCTTTTATTTTACTGAAAAGTACGCTGAATATAATCTTATGCATGACAAATTTGAACAACTAGTTTTTTCATTAGAATTGTCAGCGACACAACCTTGGGCAACTAATGAGTAATAGAGTAATATTATTAAAGAAGTTTTTATTTTAACGTCTTCAATGCAAAAATATGTAAGTAATTTGAAGCAAATTAACAAAGCTATGAAACAAATACATTTAAGTGATACACCAGCATGTCACCTAGCTAATGATCTAAAAGTATATATAATTGACTCTTGTCAGAAGATTGATGTATAATACAAACAACTCCAAGATCATTTATCTAATGTAAATTATTATACCGAAGTTAATTTGGAAAGTCTTTACCTAAAGATGCAATACAACGGTATTATTATATTAAGGATCTTCAGATTCAATTTTCCGTTACTTTATATCGATATTACCAAGGAAATTATCTTGGCATAATTAACTATATCTAGAAAGTTCTATCTAATCCTGAAAAACGTTTAGAAACTACATATGCACATACAGTGGCTTACAAAAGAAACGCAAGTAGAGTTGCTTGCCTTTAAAAGTTATAACTCGCCAACCACGAATGCTAGAAACATGGTTTTGTATTTGTTTTAAACCTCAAAACCTAACTAATATTCAGTAAAAATTTG